GCACTTTGATTAGTCAAAGGTTTAGGAGCCGGGTCACATTAGAGCACATTGTTTGTATAATATATAAATCTGCCGACAAGTTGCGTTAAAAGGGTGCAATCTAAAGTGTAAAAAAATTTGCAAGAATCTTGCCAATTGCGAAAATTTCGCTCTGACGAAGGGTTGACACTCGAAACGTCAGTTTTAAAACTCTTTATGGTGACCAATTTACGTTCAGTGTCAACTCAGTAGACAATACTAAATTATCCTGTTACACTCTCCCACACAGCACCATGATTTCTTTAGAAATTTACCCCCTTTGCTCATTTAACCTTCATATTGTGGAATATGTACCTGAATAAAGTTACGACAAGAACTAAAGCGAAGTCCGCGCGTTCTGAAACAATGCCACATACAGAAAGCCTGCTGATAGCGCACTAATAATACGAAAATTGCTATGTTGTTCAGTTTTCTGAGACTGAAAAAGATAATTTCTCAAAAAAGCCAGAAAGCTGAGAAAATACGAGTATTTTTTGCCTTTTTATTCGCAAGAGATTTCTCGGGAATGACAAGGTTTTTTTCTTCTAGTTCGCCGGACGTCCAATATGAAAGAATCATGTCACTTATTTTTGTCACTTGTTTAAAAAATGGAAAGAATCTGTATCCCACTACAAAGAATCAAGCCAGAGACCCTCGGATTTTCCGATCCGATGCTGTACCAATCAGAAGTAAACAGTAACTTACGATACTGACCCTAATATAATACTATTATCTGTGACAAGCTTGCTGAATTTGATTGCGTTTGGCATCAGTACAAAAGTGAGACAAATCTGACACTATACATTATTCCACATAAAGGTAATGAAGAAAGGTTGGAGGATTTTGCTGACAAATTTTTCCATGGAAAATGAGCCACAAATAGATTGTAGATATATCATTTTTGCACTCAGTTGAAAAAATTGGTCCGCAATGCGTACGTGTGTCTAATGCTGGGTTTTAGCGGTACTTCCGTTGGGTCTTGTTTTGTGTAGGTTTGGTTGCAAGTTCAATTCAACAATTTGAACAAGAATTGATTAAAATAATTTTAGCTGCAAGGTTAGGTGGCTAAAATCTGGAATACAGAGACTGGAACATAGACATCAGGGATGAACAAGTTTATTGTAAAAAAACAGCCTGCATTACAAAAGGAACCGTAACTGTATGTATTTGATACAATAAGTAAGAACAAAATATGATTCAAGTTAGGAATTGTGATTTTTTTCTTTTACATCAGAAAATTTAATGAACATATAACTGTAATATAAAAAAAGAAATAGAAAGTTTAACAACAGGAGAGTATGAAGAAATGAGAACAGCTCTACTACTTGATAATTACTGAAGGTTTCAACTGAGACGGGTTACTGTTGTAATTGAAAATTATAAGTGGTAACATCAGTAATCTGCATTAAAAGCCTCAAGTTCCTGTTGAAACTTTCTCTTCTCAATGTATAAGCATTAAAAAGACTGTTCATAAATGTACTTCAGTTACAGTTTTCAATTGAATGTGCAAACTCCATAAAATATATAATATCTAAATACTTTTAAATACAAAAAGTCACTTGGGAGAAGGGGAATGCTATAACAGAACATTGTCCCAGTGATAATAACATGAACATTTTGTCTTTAGTGAAAGATACAACAATGGCTTTGGTATCCTGTTAAATGGTAATATAGAGTGGATGCATTCTGATTTTTACCATTATTTTGGTTCTTGCTGCAGTTTAGTTCTCTGCAACACTGACTGCAGCCACAACTTTAGTTTTCTTATCAAAGGTAACAAAGAGCATTGGTGTATTTAGGAATGCTTCAACAACAATATCTTCACTTAATGACTGCTTAGTGTCAACTTTAAACAACTGTAAGGCACTGAGCAAAGTATCATTAAAAAATGTTACAGTGGTGTTAATGTCATCATGTCTCAGCAATGCCTGCAAGTGGTACTGACTGCTGCAAGCAGACACTTTCTGCCTGAGGCCACATGTTTCACACTTTACTACATTCCCTGGTGTTGCTGGAAGCTTTTTGTTACACTTGCAGCATTGGCGATAGCACATGAAATTTTGAACACCAAGGACTTCAGCATTTGTTGAT